GCGGGTGTTCATAAACGGCTCCTCTCGACTACACCTGGGTCAAATGAACCAAAAATGAACAGCTAACAGCACGATAGGAATCAGTAGCAATGGTAGTACTCACCCGCGGAACGACACGCGAAGCGGCGTGTGCAGAAGAGAATAGAAACATTTATAAGCAATAAAAAATACAGTGGTACAGATAAAAATAGGTAATGGAAATGAAAAACCGGATTAAGAGGAGACAGGCGACAAGGCAATGCGATTTCAAGGCAGAGCAGCCAAGCGAGGGAGCCTGTTGAGTGTTAGCAACATCCTAGCTAATGCAGCGACCAACGACTTAGTTGGAAGCTATGGTTCACAGGCCAGGTTTGGAGATCCTATCAACTCTATGCCATACTGCATGAAAAGGACTCGAGGGTCCGAAAGAAAAGAGTAAGAGATTGCATGTGAAGAAGAAGGTTTGATATTTCATCGGCGTGATGTCTGTAGTACCAATTATTTCTCTGCACTCTTGCAAGACTTGCTTGGCAAGTCAATAGACATATTAAGAACTTCAGAAGCAAAGGGAAGTTAAAAAAAATAATGTTACTAAAAAAAGAAACTTGCGTATTGTGTGTTCGTATGTTTGTTCCTAAAGCCCTTCCCACACCTTCAAGTTGTGGTAAATGGGGGATTCGGCCAACTCGCTGAAAGCCGACTCATCGACAGTCAATTCGTAGTATAGGCCAATTTGTTGTAGGACAATTCATCAAAAGGCAACTTGTCGAAAGGCAACCTGGGACTGTCATTTAACCCATTCGAGGCCGATTCCTCGAATGGGTTAAATGACGGTCCCAGGTAAAAGTTCATGGTTCCTTGTTATCTTTTGATCTAAATTTTTATTTGTGTTTGGACTAGGGACAGCGGTCTTTTTAGGTTTTAGGACAGTACCTTGAGACAAGTTTAGAAATGTAAATTTCGGGATTGTCCTTTTGCTAGTTTTCTTTATTACTTTTTGTAATGAGCCGCTGCGGACTGTTGCCGCGAAGCAGCGTGGACGGGTAGGCCAAGCAAACTCACACGTGCCACAGTGATGCACACGCGACGTAGTAACTGTCCCCCACTGCACCGTGAAAGTGGAGAAAGCTGCAAGTTGTTATCTTCGACAAGAAAGAGCGCACTGGATGTTTATTACGATACGGCGATATTACGCATTACTATAGGGCAGGATTTGCTTTAACATTTCAGGACAAAATTATATATTATGGCTTTGAAACAGCGGCGACCAGTTGGCGTCTTCGACTAATTTTTCTTCGACGATTTGCCTTATGACGATTCGGCCTATTCGACAAATGGGCTGCTGACGAGTTTACCGTCGATGAGTTGGCTTTCGGTGAGTTGGCCTAGACTCGGTAAATGGTAGTGCCAGTAAAATCTGAATTTAGGCGTTGTTTCTTGTTTCCCTTATTTAAATTAATGAACAAGTGCCAATTTCTTTGTAAATTTTATTAAAGAAATGCCGTGGCATATTTCCTGAACTTTCAATTTTTATATTTTCTTTTGTGAAGTTCGCTAAAGATTTCGAGAGGCTCACGAAGATGAACCTGGCCGACAAAGTCGCAAAAGGGATTGACAAGATCGTTCTGTTGGCCACAAAGAAGGCGATCGACTGCCAGGAGCATGTCCTACTTACACTGCAAGCAGCACCGCACATGGATCTGGGGAGGCTCAGGACACGGCGTGAGTACAGTAAGAAAACCGCTGCGCAAGGGAGGCTTTTCGACCAAGCGATAAAATACCACCATTCAATGCATGCATGGGAAAAGATAGTAAAAAAACAAACAAAAAACTTTCAGTCTTTCTCTTTTGTTGAGGAAGGAAGGCTAGCGGAGCTGCACTATGGTGGGAATGAAGTAATGGCCGATCGCTAGTCGGCAAGCCAGAGTGGAAAGGTTGCGGCCATCTATGATGGTTGCTGCCGTCTCCTATATATGGCGGTAGCTGTCCAGAGTTCTGTGTCATCGGGTTATTTGAGGACTGACACGACCCTGGGGAAACTAGCCGCTAACAGCTCCACTGTAAAAAAAATAACCGAGTTTATGTGTGCAACCACGTTGGCGCATTGCTCGGCTGAGAAGTAAGCGAAACTATAGCTTTCAAAATGCGGCCTTTAGGGTGGGCTGCTTTGTGCTGGCCTCCCCTGTATTGAAAGATGGAACGTGACTGGCACTCTCGCTATCAGCGCGCTCGGAAACAATAGTGCTACGTGCTGCAATTTTGCCGCTCTGGTCGTTGGTCGCTCGTGCTAATCTTTTTCTGCTGCAGCTGTACGTGCGCAGCGCCTTGGCAGAGGAGAACCCTCTGCCAAGGTGCAGGCAGCGTGGTGGAGGGCCGTAGAGGACAGACATTTGGGCTGCACACCAGTGTATGGGGAATAACTTTGGGAGTTTGTATCATACTCCCAAGGTTATTTCCCCGTGGTGATTTGAATTGTTTCATACCATTTGGTGACATGTCCAATGGCTTATCTATAATATTATGTTGCACCCATTTAGGTCGTTCTGGTGTGTTGCCTTCTTTTCTTTTAGTGGGGACAGGCTTGGCCAAGTGAACATCTTAGTATTTGTCTGAAGTTCCCTCATTGTCACTGATCCTACTGGAAGATAAGCAGAACAATGCATACATTTTTTTTCTGAAACCGTCCAGGACACGTGCAACGAAGAGTACAAAAATGTATTTGATATCTTGCACAAATGTTGTTGGTGTTTTTCAGACATCCTGACTGTTGCAACTCTGCGCATTTTGGCACTGAACGTCAAGGAGTCAACATCACTGCCCCTAATGTTCGTGCAAGAAGATGTAAGTTATTTCACTATATTTTTGCGAAAGTTGATGCTAGCAAGAACAAAGTTCCAGCCTACCTTCAATGTAGCAGGGTTAAATAAATGCTAACTAAAGAGGTTTTTTTGTTGTTTTTTGTGGGTAGAGTGTTCGTTTTTTTTTTTTGTTTTCACGGTATGTTTTTTCATAGTGCCCGCAGGGGCTAGAATTGGAGCCTTCTGAATACATATTAGTGACCATGTTGATGTCAAAGGAAACAAACATGTGAAATGCACATGAATACAAGTCCTGAAAAACCAATGAAGGCTGGAAGGCGGCAGGCATGCTGATCTTTCTAGGGTTTTCAATACAGAGACAGTGTAGCGTGTTAACTGGCTTCCAACAGTTCAATAGCAGCTTGTTCACCTGGCCCCTTTTGTTAATGGGGTGTCCCAAACATTAGGCCCACCAGGCCCCAAATACTTCTGTAACGCTCAAGAGATAATGGCCACCTAAATTACAGAGATATAAAGTAAAAATTTGAGGCGAACCAAGTTTCGGGTACAATGGCTGAAACGCCAAAAACCTAATAGTCTGGCTTCCAAAACACAGCCATGCTCAACGTGCCTCATGCTGGATTTTCACTGCTCCGGTTGGTGTTCGGACGGGAGAGATATGGCCAGCGACTGCACATAAAATGTAAATGTAGCTCGTGAAAATTAATTTATACAACTACATACGAGACATTGTTATGTTTGCTGTTTTCTGGAACCTTCATCTTTGGGTTTTTTTAGTGTAGAGGAGGAAGCAAAAAAATTAACATTGGCCAACGAACAAATAATAGCATGTACCGTTATGGTCAGTCGGTAGCCCTGTACGGTTCATAAATGCGGGGTGGCGAGGTAAGCAGGGTGCGTCCGTGGCAGACATAGATTGTAGCACCTGAGCTGCCTGCCTTCTGTCGGTGTTTGCCCCCTTTTTTCTCCTTGAAACTTGTCTGCCCTTGGCTATGTTCGCTGATACCGATAAGAACCCATTATTGCACCCAATGAGCGCTGACGACCGATGACACTGCCTGACAAAGCGCGTCTGCGCAAACATCCCTGCTTTTTGTCTTCTCTTCCTTCTGCACGTATTGTTTCTCATCTGTGCATTTGTTGGTGTCCTCTTATCCAAACAATAACCTCAAATGTACACAGGAAGGCTGCTGTCCACATAAAGAAACCAGGCCACTGTAAAAGTGAGATGTGATAGCAAAGCAAAAAATCACTCTCATGGTGAAAACGAACCAGTGATGCGTCAGATTTTTGGCGTGACTTTTATTTTTTTTATCTCCAGACCTGTACTCATTTCCAACGATAAATAAGTCTAGCAGCGTATCATAATGCATCGGAAAAGTATCTCACTATTGAAATGCAAATAGGTTTCACAAATGCATCTTCATACTGAAATAGAGATACTAAAATATATCTCTAAGCTTATATCGCAATATTTTCATGTCGTGATGTTTCCCCAATTGTAATTCCTCATTCATTTTACATTGTTGCAGATGCCGGTTACTTATTTAAACATAAGCAATGCTCATGGCCTGAACTGGAGTGAATAATAGCAGTTGACAAGAGCAAACATGTTTTGGCCTTCTACATTAAAATATGTTGTGCCTTTTCCTTTTACCTAACGCAGGATGAAAACATCCCACCGACACCGTGTGTCCTGTACAGCGGGCAAGACTTAGAGGATGCAGACTTCTTTCACCTGGTTGTTGATCGTGAGAGGTTGTTCTCCGTTCCAAATGCCGAGGAGGGGCTGTGTATGTTGTTGGCAGCCTATTGGTTGTTCAGTATACAATATGAACGGAAGGCCTTCAACATGCTCGTCACTCTGGAGAGGCTTTTTCTCGGCATGAGCCACACAACTCCAAGGGCAGTGGTAATTAAATTTTTAAACAAAGTTTGCAGGCACGTGCATGGTTGAAGCAATGATTTGTGCTTCAACCACACGCGCATTAACTGCTTCGTTACGGTTCAGTTTGAGCTTTTTCTTTTTTTTTTTTTTTTTTTTACGGTGTTAGTTTGCAGGCTCTGTAAAAATGGATGTCCACCCACGGGACAGTGGGGCTCTACAGTTCAAGTAAGGAAAATGAACACATATTTTATTCAACATTTTATAAGTTAATTTTTACAAAATAGGTTTTGGGAAGAATAGCAAAACTGGAGTGATACCGGCAGAGAAATGAGGCTCATTTATTGGTACGAAAATCAAAGAAGCAGTGCCAGTCAGTTTCAGTGCAGAGGTAGATTTCACAGGACGTGCAATGGTGCTGAGTTTTCTTTGAGGAGCCAGGGTTCCTGCACTGTGTAGCATTCTTGACGTCTTCTTTCTTTGGCACGTGAAGTGCCTGCGCCGTCTGGACTGGCGAGTTCGGCAGTGGCTTGACTCTCTTGCGCGGAACCTGTGGCACCGCACAAACTTTCTAAAATGGCATCAGCCTGACTTGTTAGTCCTGAAAATCGAGCACAATCAATCAAACCAATTGTTTTCACTTCGCGAGTGTTTCAGATTGGTGCGAGCAAAACATGATCATCGCGAAATTCGTGTCATAAGTTTTGGGTCCCAGCGTCCACCCACGTAGACAGTTTGACAAGGGACTACTATAACCCTTGCTAATACTGTTGAAAATATTAAGCATTAGTGACCATCTGTGAACTTTCAAGAACTCTAGAAATATAAATTAACACAGCCTCCGTTTGTGTAAATCACATAAACTGATTACATACCTTGGCGTCGCCCGTAGAACATGCGAGTGCTGCAGGTCGCCATTTTTAACAGCAAGCAACAAGTTTTCAGTGCTGTTTGCTCAACACTCCTCCAGATGGCAGCACAGACTACGTCCATGACGGTGGACAGGCGTCCTTTTCTGTGTGCAACGAAGTTTTTTTTTTTTTTTTTTCTTCTTCTTACAATTCAAAACCCAATGTTTACACTGGTGGACGCAGGGTCTCAGGAGGTTATACAGGGTGTTTCACGAAAGGTGGACAAATTCAATATTGCAAAAACTGCTCGAAGGCTTGTGTCGTTTTGGCCCTGGGCTCGAGGCCTATTTAGGAAAACTTTTGAAGTCCGGGATAATTAGATTGTTAATTATTTTTGAGTAACTGACTTTTTAGTATTGTGTTTTAGGTTATGGTTTCAATTAGAAAATTGCTCAGCATCATTGAAAAACACTAGATCAACATATTACACAACAATAGAAGGCACGTGCAGCATCTTACGACTTTCTGAAAAACCTCACAAATGGGATAGGTTTTTAAGTTTCGGTTTGCTATTGGAGCGCATCTCGACCTCGACGGCACCATGCCCCGTGGAGAAATGGTGCAACCAGCCTCTGCTGCGTTGCGCAAGGACATCGCAGCAGAGGTTGCTTGCGCCATTTCTCCATGGGACGCGGTGCAATCGGGGCCGAGATGTGCTCCAATTGCAAAACGAAACTTAAAAACCCGTCGAATTTGTACTGTTTTTCAGAAAGCCGTAAAATGCTGTGCACGCCTTCTGTTGTTGTGCAATATGTTGATCTAGTGTTTTTCAATGATGCTGAGCAATTTTCTAATTAAAACCATAACCTAAAACACAATATTAAAAAGTTAGTTACTCAAAAATAATTAACAATCTAATTATCCCGGACTTTAATCATTTTTCTAACTAGGCTCCTCGTCCAGGACCAGAATGACACAAGCCTTTTTTTTGTTGCGACCCATAGTTTTCGCAATATCGAATTTGTCCACTTTTCGTGAAACACCCTCTATGTGGATATTGCACTTTTCGCGACAGTATTATCAGGTTAATTTTTATTTTGCTTACAGAACAAATGATAGAATGTTTTATGGAGGCATGTTTTCTTTTTCTGTCTTTAAATGTATAACTTATGCCGACCTCCTGTAGGTGAGGTATAATTTATCTGTACGGGGGTTCCTCATTCCTAGTCACTTTCCAAAACTTTATAATTTTCTTTGTACTTGAGATTTCTGTGATATTTTTCATTACATGTTGGCAGATAGCATTGTTTATGTCAAGGAATGGCATACATTGTATTTTTTTTTTCGTTTGTCTTTTAGGGCACAATAAATGTTCAATTTTACACATTCTAATTGATGTCATAATGAGCTTCACTTACTGAAATACTGCTGTGGTTCAGTCAAGGGCTAGACCGCCATGCTTCCAATTAGTAAATAGATATGCTTAAGGAGATGAGTGAAGCGTGTTTCCTGCAATCCTCTGAGACAAAACTTGGCACTTGATCTCCAAACAGGAAAGCTCCACATGCTTCATTTGTAAAAGCCCATTATGTTTATAACTATGGTTTAGCCGTGCAGTACGATGCTTGGGGCCACTGCTTGCTCACTTGAAGTTCGAGAAAGGGCGGCACCGGAAGCACTACCAGTTGCCCTCAGGCTTATGATGTGGCTTGCAAGTAGCTCTTTTGTATTACTTCATGAAGTGAGTTGCGTTCAATGTGACTCGTTCTTTCTTTATCATGTGCCTTGTATGTGATTTGGCAATACCCCCCCAGGTGAAAAAAAGTAAATGTGTTTAGTAAACATGATAAGCTGAGAATCATGATAAGAATATCCACTACTTTATATGATTTTCGTACAATTTAGAATTTCTGATATGTGTATTGGACACATGCCTATAAAATTTTTCCTAGGGCCTTCATTTCAGCTTTCGTCCGAGTGCGGCAGACGCTACCGGCCAATCCAGCATCGGCAGAGTGTCATGTGAGCTTGAACTCCACATAACCAAAACGTTGCATGATACTCTCCCGGCACTGGATTGGCTGGGGTGGCCCAGCATCCACTGGGCCACCCCAGGGGGCGCCCATTTTACGGCAAGCACCCTCTACCAGGGGTGTTTGGCAAGCACCCATTATAAAGGGTGTTTGCCTGAACACCCTAAGGGTGTCAGCCCTGGGACAAACTGGTGTACACCCTTAAGGGTGTAAAAACTTTTAGTGTGTAGCTGAAGCAGCACGACAGTTATATAGAGAGTTTTATAATAGGGGGTCCCAAAGCTTTGGGGACACAAATGAAATAGGGGCTCAGCACTGCGCATGCGTAGAACCCAAGCTCCGTTTGGGGTTTTGGGTTGACGCGCGAACCCAACGTGATATTCGAGAAATAGCGCGGGGCCCCCAATCGCTTGGGGCCGGGTTGTGTCGGCAAACATGGCGGCGCCCTTTCCGTTCGCTTCGGTGCAAATTCGTCATGGTTGCTGCAGTATTAGCCAATTTCAATGCCAATGAATAGTGCAACCGGCTTTCGCTTTGCTTTATCTTGCTCAAGTAACAAAGAATGAGCGGTGGGATCACCCCATTTTAAAGATCGTACCTGATTCTGGCCGTTCCTAAGCCTAAATATACGTCGTAATTAACTGTTGACATGGTGACGTAAATTGCTACTCCGTGGCTAAAGGCTCATTCACACAGACCCGTTTTTTTTTTTACGTTGCGTTACGAAAAGTCACCGGGAAATCTGTGCTTCATATTAAACTGTGCCAGCAGCAGCTTCAGATAGGAAGCCCACGTTGTTGTTTTTGCTTTCTTCTTTTTCTCATCTTTTTTTCGTCGTGACCTTAAATGTCAGTTTTATCATTTTCTATCGCAACTTAGTAATGTATCTGTTTTTATTCTTTCTTCTTTTTACCTTGTGGGTGCGCGTGGGCTTCATGTCTGAAACTTTCTCATTATCTTTCTTTCACAATACACAAGTTGTGAGTCAGCGCTCTTTCCTGTGTTCTATTTTCTTCCTCCTGTGCTTGCGCGCTGATTTAGATATGGCTCGTCCTCGAATTTTTTGGGCGTTCGTGTTCGCTTTGACCGTCTGCAGCCGAAGATTTAAGCCTTCAACTATGCCGAGACTAAGATGAACGCGAGCGCGCATACTCTGCGAGCAGCTGCACTATTTAGATCTGAGCTGGAGCGTCTTTGAAGCCTTGAAGTACTTGTTTTCAAGATGCAGGTATCGTGCCACGAACGAAATCTACTCGGAGCCACGGAGTAGCAATACGTTGCCATGTCAACGGTTACGGCGTATGTTTAGGCTTAGAAACAGCCAGAATCGGGGACGATCTTTAAAATGGGGCGAGCCTACCGCTCATTCTTTTTGGTTTGAGCGAGATAAAGCAAAGCGAAAGCCGGTTGCACTATTTATTGGCATTGAAATGGGCTAATACTGCAGCGACCATGACGAATTTGCTCCGAAGCGAGCGGAAAGGGCGCCGCCATGTTTGCCGACACAACCCGGCCCCAAGGGCCCAAGCGCCAACCCAAAGCCCCAAACCGAGTTTGGGTTCTGCGCATGCGCAGTGGTGAGCCCCTATTTCTTTGGGGCCCCCAAGCTTTGGGGGTCCCTATTCTAAAACTCTCTATTAACTGTAATGTGTGTGTTTTTCTTCTTCTTTCTTTTTTTACTGTTGAGTACTATAAACTTATCTAATATAACATGTTCCTTACCTAAAAATATTTGTAAACTAAACGGACATCGATTGATTTCTGTCTGCGTCGGTGCATTTTAAGGGAGCAGGTGAGCAAAAATATTGTGATGGTAAGCAAATAAAATATTCTGGTTTCTGTCTTCGGCAGGCCCTAGGCTTTAAGAAAACAGGGCAGCAAACAAAATTTATAGATATCGAAGGTGGCCGTTAAGGGGATTATAGGAGAAAAATTAAATCGTTCTGGATTTGTGCGTGCACTTCTGTGTGTGCGCAGGTGCCCTGTAGGAGGATAGGTGAGCATATAGTTTTTTGAAAAGGTAGGTTGTGAAGGCTTCTAGTGCTGCTGCACCAAGAGGAGAGGAACTTTTAAATTCTACACGAGAACTGAAAAAATGGAAATGTTTGCTTGTCAAATTACCTTCAAACACTGTACGACAATCGCCTGTTTAGTGTTGTTGTTATTTTCTTTTTTTGCATCAAATTGCTTTTTTTTTTACTTTCATAGCTTTTGGAAGCACAGGACGTCTAAGTATACCCAGACTTCTAGCTATATTGGCTACGTTTCTGTTTCTAAATTAGGCTCCTTCCGATTAAAGAACAAACAAAAAACCTCAACAGGTCCTCAAGGGATGTCTTTTATTGTTGAGTTCTTATTTCAGAAGTTCTGAATTCTAACCCAGAACGTATCACGATAACAATATCAGTGAAGAAGAGGCGATAGAAAGCAGAACATATATATGCTCACATCTGCGCCTCTTTCGTTGATCGCTCTTTCATTTTCTTCATTCAATGCAAGGTCAAACACGGGTAGGTATTGCAGTAGATGATAACGAACTAGGTATCAAATGTCAACCATTTCGTCGTTTACCCTGAGACGGGTTTTTTTGAAGAGCAGAAGTAACAGAAAAAACATACAGGTCTCAAACTCAGCTACACGTTTATTTCAACAACTTCCTCTTATATAGTTCGTTCTCGACGAAATGGTTGACTTCCACCAGATAGCCTGTACTTTGACTCTTTTCTCGGTATCAAATGTACTTGCATAGATCGACCGTCGGCAAGGACTGGACCAGAATGCGAGTGGCAGCCGACTGAACTTTTGCGAGCGCATATTCGCGTTATATACGGACTAAATCGTAATTTTAAATGAGAAATCAAACGCACGCTTGACGAAACGCGTGACGTTACGTGTTTCGAAGTGGTCACGCTCCATTTCACAGGTGAGAATGCTTACTGACTGCGTAGAGAGCTCACAAAAGCCCTGTTCCACATATACTCGACGGGCGAAGAAGGCGGCAATATGGCGGTTCCGCTAGCAGACGACAGAGTTGTCTCCACTCTGAGCCGGCGCCAGCCTGCAACATGGAGACATTCTATAAAGAGCTATGATGGAAAGCAGAGTCTGGTGGAAAGTAGAGAGAGAGCGCCATCTGTTGTGCAACTGAAAAGGTATTTTGG